TTTTTTTTTTTTGTTTTGTTTTTTTCAAATACACTCCATAAGTATCCGAGTGAAGCCCGTCAAGCTCCGTTCAGCTCTCGTGCCGTGGACTGTTTTTCCTCTGTGGGTTGAGTGAGACTCGATGTGTGCTATTTGTATTACCCTACAGTTTACTGATCTGTGTTCACATTAAAGTGTTCAGACTGGGTGTGTGTGTCGTGTTTTATTCGGGGTTATTACCAAACAAACGTCCTTCATGAGCACTTTTGCACCTAGTAGCAAAACAAAGAAGCACTCAGAGCTCAAACCTCTGCCAAGAAACTCGCTCTCTGGGCAGTATTTACTTTAAAGGTAATAGTGCTGCATTTTGTATATATTCACTTTGTTTTCTTTGTTCTTTTTAAATGTACTTTAAGAGGTTTGTAGTGCAGTAAAAACAAGTGCCTAAGGCAGGCTTTTGTAATTACTGACATCATCCTGAATAGAATTACTAATTATTTATGTGGAGTCATTATTTCTCTTGACAGTACTTTCTTTAAAAATCTAACAGATTTTGGGCTTAAGCTGAAAGAGAGGCAGATGTAAAATTCCAAAGTGAGGTCAAAGGTCAAACGCGACATATTTGTATACAAATTGTGTTATTTAGACTCCCTGTTTACCAGTATCATTCCTAAATGTTAGCAGTACAAACAAAGGCAGTAGAGTTTTAAGCAGGGTTTCTTAACATGTCTTATTTTTAAAGGTCTGACCTCATTTGACCTCGAAGAAGAGGTCAGAGGTCCAAAGTACCATGATATTTAAAATCCTCATATCATTGGGGATATGTTGTCGATGCAAATAATGGCAGTAAGAAAAATCAGCTAATAGTATTATCACTTTGACTTTCGGATCAATCTACTGCCCTTGAAGGAGAGGTCAGAGGTCAAATGTGACACGTTAGAAATCTTTACAGGCTACTTTGTACATGTTGCACATGTTAAGAATCGTAGTTTCTAAGTTACAAGGCTTTTTGTTGATTTTTAATAAATCATAAAGTTGACCTTGATGACCTCAGTGGATCTGTTTTATCAGAATTCATTCAAAACTTTCCGAGCTGTTGCATTTACAGACAGAATGGCAGCATACATGCAAGCAGTAACAAGAACATCTATTGAAACCACCGTGGCAGAGGTTTAAACAAAAACAAAAAAAGGAGAACATGGTTGATGCAGTAGTTATTTTAATCAACAGGAAACATTAAAACAGCCTATTACAGGAACAAGTTGGATCATGTGGCAGCACAGTGTGGAAATGATGAAATAAATCCCTGAAAAAGATGCAGAAGCATCGCCGCCTGTTCAGGAGGTACACCGATTTTGTGCCATCCGGTGAGTTCAAAAAGCTTTAAGCTCATTGAGCCATTCAAAAGCTTGAAATTCCTCTTTTTCTCAAAGACAGATTTAGCTTTTTTTTGTGTTATCAGCCAGATGCATGCTGTAAATGCTGCAAGTTTTAAAGCCTCTGAAAGTTGGCCTGTTATTTGGCTTCAGTGTTTATCATAAATGCAAAATAAACGGAGTCATTTCTGCATCAGTTACAAACGACGTCACAACAAAACCCTCCATTCAGATAGTTTGTCAGTTACAGTCAGGAGAAGCATTTCATCCCTTTGGCAGTTTCATGTGAAACAGGATACAGCAGTGAAGGGTGGCCAAACGGTTAAATGAGAAGCCTTTAAACAGTTTGGTAAACTGAGATGTTTGTAGTATCTCATCTGTGCCTCACTTGTTAGTCTTTCTGCTCTTCCTCGTGTTCATGTCGCTCTTTGTCTTCTGCAGTCGGGAGAAGATCTCCTTGAACAGCGCCTTGTACTCTGGCGTGTTCTGGCTCAGCCGTTTGTCCACCTGCTCCACCTGCCTGCTGATCCCCTCCAGGGCTTCAGGGGTGGAGGGAGTCTGAGGGGGTGTAGGGGGGGCGGCGGCGATCACGACGTCTCCGGAGGTGGAAGGCCCCGCGGTGGCCATGTTGTACTCCTTCATGGAGGGATCCCTGGAGACGGGGCGCGAGGTCTGCACCCCTGCGTGGCACAGGCTCTCTTCGTGACGCCTGCACTTCCCCAGCAGCTCCTCGTACTTCTCCAGCAGCGCGTGGTACTGCTCGTCCACCTCCCGCAGGATGGACATGCCCCGTTTGCGCACGCCGTTGGCGTGGAGGGCATAGCTCCCCTGCCGTCTACCTGTTGCGTCACGAGCTGAGATGGCGTTCAGGGCTGTGTCGCTGCAGCTTTTTCTCACCGGTCCACCTTGCTGCCCAGCCTCTCCAGCACCTCCCTCGCCTCCGTCCTCCTGCCCTGGACTCTCCTCTGGAGTGTCAGTCTCAGGGCCGTTATTGAGCAGATTCTCTAGGCCGTCTTCCATGTCACCAATCAGACACACCCTGGACTTCCTGAGCTGCTGCATCTCCTGGAGCTCAGCTTCCAACTCCTGAACCCGCAGCTGGCATCCTTCTGCTCCTAGGAGACGCTGCTCCAGGCGCTCAAACTCCTGCAGCACAGCAGCACACTCCCTCTCTGCACCCTCCCGCTTGGACCGCTCTGCAGCCATGGCCGAGTGCAGCGACGACACGATGTCTCTCAGACGGTCGTTCTCCTCATCCAGCGGCTGTCGCTCAGCCAGGTCCACGCTACCCGGATTGGCCAGCAGGAAACCATCCTCATACCTTACAGGAAAAACACTCAGTGAGCTGCGTTTGTGGCCAATCTCATTCAAATTTCATGTACAAACACTGCACAGTCACACTATAAATACAGTCCAGTGATAAAGCATTCAAATCCTTCTGGTTTTTTTGTTTTACATCAAACTAATTTTAATACTAGACCAAGATAACCCGAACAAATACAGAATTCAGTTTTTAGATGATGACTTCATCATTTATAAGGAAACAGCTACTGAAACCTATCTGGCACTTTGTGAAAAAGTAACTGCCTCTCTTGTTAAGTCAGGAATTAACTGTGATTAACAACATTTTTTGGAAAGAAAAAAGGTTCGGTTTCACTCGCCACACCAAGGCCTCATTGGGTTGGTTATCTAGCAGGATGATGACCTGAAGCACACCAACAAGTCCACTTCGGAATGGCTAAGAAACAAGAAGTGAAAGTTTTGGAGCCAAGCCTGGACTTCAATCAGATTTATATGCTTAAACAGGCCGCTTATGCTAAAAAAACTCTAATGTGGCTGAATTTAAAAAAAAGGAAAAGTGGGTCCAAATTCCTTCACAAAGATGTGAAAGACTCATTGACAATGACTGATTATTAGCTTTAAGGAACAATTACTTTTTCACACAGGGCCGTGTAGGTTTGGATACCTTTTTCGCTTAATAAATGAAATAAATTAAATCATGATTTAAACACTATGTTTTACATTTACTCAGGTTATGTTTGTCTAGCATTTGCTTGATGATCTGGAAAAAAGTGCGACAAATATGCAAAAAACTAAGAAATGAAATACGTTTTTACATACATAGGACATGTTACAGTTACTGTTAGCTCTATATTACAGACAGCAAAGACACCAATCATTTCCTGACACTCAGTGACCTCGGAGCAGTGCAGAGCTCCTTGAGGCAGGGGAAAGAGTGGATGGTCTTGCGACGCTCCTTCTTCTCCCTGCGGACTCTCAGCTCCTCCAAAGTTCGCAGCTCCTCAACCCGAGCTGTGAGACTGTCCACCTGGCTCTGTAGGGTCTCCATGGTGCTGGTTAACCTACAGACATGCACACACACACACAGATCACTGATTTTTTCCATTTTGATTACACCATAC